TCCAGCTGGAGACCCTCCATGCGTCTGCGCCTCCCCAAAAGCCATGCTAAAATGCAAACGAGTGTCCCGTTAAAGGAAAATGTCATTTTATTTGCCATAGAACAGGAAGAAATGGACAGGAACAACATAGAGAAAGATGAGGGGATAGAGCAGGACTCCTAAGTCCCCTCACTCCCGGTTACACATAAGCACGTAGACCCCAAGAAGGAAGATGAATCCGTCTGAAGCCACCATTCATACTATCGCTGAGACTAGGTAATAAGCCCTCATAACTGCACACATAGACAGAACCTCAGAGATCCATGCACAGCTGCTGGACCATTTGTGAGATGCTGTGCCTCTCACATACCACATCATTCCTAAAAGACACAGCGCGTTCGGGATGGCAACTGACCAGAAGGCATGGAGATACTGCCGCTCTATCCTGTTCTGTCACGTGGGGCACAGGCTAGGTGAGAGATTCCAGAACTTAGGTCCGGTGCAGGAGGGCAAAGGTTTCCCAAGACCCCGTGTTTGCCATACAAGCCCTACACAGTGGGGGAGGTTCTTGGGCTAGACCACAAGGAATCCCAAAGAAGCACTAGAGTAAAGAGAGATCTGGGCACTCAGGGGCTGCCCCAGTACAGTCTCCTCCTATGTCCCTCATCTAAAACCAAGAGGTTTAGCTTCTGGGGCATCTCCAGTCCAGCTCACAGTGAAACCACCTGATAGCTGCAAAGAGCTGGGCTCCATCCCAGGCCTGGAGGCTGAGAATCTCTAAGAACAGAGCCAAGACAGTCCTCTGGATAAAAGCCCCAAGTGCTTCTTCTGCACAGTGTGTCCTAAGTCCCACTCTATAGGCAGCTGTCCTTTCTCCCCTCTGCCCGAAGAAGAGCAGCAGGTCACCCGCCCACACTGCAGACCATAACCAGACACTTCTGAGCAGGAAAGTGGATCGGGGAGAACTAGACAGCTGTCGGAGACTCTGAGTATCTGGGAACTAATCAGAATCCATCAGCAAAGACATCCTGAGGCTAAGGACAACTAGAGACAATTAAAACCAGGGCTGGGCATGGCTTAGTCCATTAAGTATTTGCTGTGTTTGAGGATGTGGGTTTGATCCCTAGAACCCACACTTGGTATAGGGGAAGTATGGTAATGCATTGCCTAAAACGCCCAGTGCTAGGGAAATAGAGGCAGGTGGATCCCTTATTCATACGTGGCAAATTCTTCCCAGTCAGTGATTGCTTCAAACACACAGAGAAGAGGGGGGATAGACAGTGCCTAAGAAATGACAGCAAAGGCAGATCTCAGACCTTCACATATATGCACGCACATGTGCACAGGTACTCTGACACACATGCACCTGTGCGCGTGTGCGCGCACACACACACACACACACAGAGAGAGAGAGAGAGAGAGAGAGAGGGAGACAGAGAGACAGAGAGACAGAGAGACAGAGAGACAGAGAGGGGATGGGGGAGAAAACAGCAAAAGCTACCCATTAGGGGAATGGTCCCTCTTCTGTATAATCAGGATGTAGAAGATGGAGCTGCCCAAGCTCTGTTGCTCTAGGGAACTGTACTGTGGGTATTCACACAGCAGGCAACTTCTGTCACTGGAACAAGAATCCAGTCTCTCTGTACCTGGGTTGGTCCGTTCACACTAAGGGAACATTGATCACAACATAGGACTGCAGTGAGGGTTAGGTACCCAGGGCAGCACACAGTAAGCACCCAATACACATTCAAAAGCATTCGCAGGAAGGTTGCCAGGGCTAAGTCAAGTGTGAAGGTGAAGGGGTAAAGGTCAACCAGCTGCTTCCTGCAAGAGGTCTTGAAATGTCCATACTAATGGTGCCAGTGGCAGGTGCTGAAAGTCTTCAAGGGTCACTGGGATTATAGGCATGTGCTCCGTACAATGGGCCAGGAGAAATGATACCTTGTGGTAGTCTCAGTGGGCACTCTACACCTGCAAGGCAGGCGTGGTAGACCGCCTCTCCTGAGCTGTCCACACTCTCCTCCTGAAAAGCTTTGTAAGCACTCCGGACAACATCTTGGAGACAGCTCCATCTTTCCCAACTCTCACCAAGGACTTGCTCCAGGCTGAGTGCACGAGAATCTTGTTATGTTACCAGGAATGGCATACTGGGGGAAGGGAGATGCTGAGACTTGTGGTTGGAAGGACTTCATCCCCTCACCCAACGTTTCATGGCTATGTGGGCTGTGTCCTATCAACTGGACCCTTGCCTTTCTCTTCCCTGACTGGATGGCCTTGGGCAAGTCACCTGGCCTCTTGGAGTCTGGTCTCCTTACTTACACCTTGATGGGGCACTGGCTGTATACATCAGATGCTCTGAGGTCCCTCCTGGGACCAGCAAGGTGGGGAAGGGAAGAGGAAGAGGAGCTAGGAAAGGAATGCCAGGCTTAGGGCTCCACACTGCCCACCCACATAAAGAGACAAGGTGAAGTTGGTGCCAAGTCAGAATGGAAACTGCAAGGGGTGGGCAGGGAAGGGGAGAAAGGGGCTCATGTTGCCCCTGGTGCATCTAAGAGGCCACCAAGCCTACTAGGTCAAATGGTTATATCTTTAAAGAAGTATGGTAATCATAAGCCATATTTTCCAAACGAAACATCAAGGCTCGTGTGGTGGCACGTACCTGCAATCCCAGCACTCGGGAAGCAGAGGCAAGAGGACCAGAAGTTTGATGCCAGCCTGGGTGACACAGTGAGTTCCAAACCACTGCACCCTTGACGTTCTGCAGCTCAGGGGCCTTGCCCTTTCCCCATCCACAATGTGAGGACTGAGAGCATGCCAGATGCTTGGTCCACCACCTAACACCCCCAATCAGTCCAGCTCTCCTCCTGGGGTTCACATTTTCCTCTAAGCCTAACTGCAATATTTGTTCCCACCAAATTGATGTCAGAGGAACAATTTCTCCCCCATTTAATTGATAGCGCCTCTAAGCGACCAGACAGAATGACCTACTTGAGAGTTCCCTGGTCTCTGTTGCCTGCTGAGCTCCCAGGCGGTGAACTTCGCCGAAAAGAGTGTGCTAAGCCCTGGCCTGGCCCTTCTTCATTTCCTGCCGCCTAGTGCCCTTCTGATAAGCGCAAGAAGGGAGAAGGCTGTCATCTCATCGCCTTAAAGATAACAGAGAAGTCAGAGAGAAGGTTACCTCCCCCGCCCGCGACCCCTGTATTTTTCTGGCTCAAGGTTTTTTTTTTTACTTCGTTCCTAAATGAGCTACCGAGGAAGGCCAGGCGGGCTGCAGATTGCTGGGACACTGTCAAAAGAGCAGGGCATTGTCAAACAGGGAATGGAACTCCATGTTGGGGGCGCCCAGCAAAGCCCGCAGCGATTTCAAAGAGTTCTTCAGAGGCATTCACGGGTCGGGGGAGGGGAGAGGCACACACGAGCCGGACAAAATCAATAATTGTTCTAGGTGACATTTTCCGCTGTCAAGGGCAGTGCTCAGATCTCACTGGGTCAGTCGCACAAGAGATGGGCGTGTCTGCAGTTCATCCACGGGGCTGAGCTCGCCAGACCTGACTGAGAGAGCGCTGGGGTAAGACAAGGGTGTGAAGGGTGGGATTCCGTTGGGTGTGTTCAGCACGTTAAAAACACACAGAAATGCTCCCCAGGTTGTTTGGGAGAGGAGTGTTGAGCTGATTAGAGCAGCCTGCTTGCGCTGGTGGTGCTGATAGGAAACCAGAAGTATAGAAACGAAAAAAACTGTACACCGCCCCCTGGGGGTCGCCTTGTGTAAAGGAAAGGGACCCACTGAGAAGCAGGGGTTTCTCTTTTGCGTGAGTTGGTTTTCTAAACAATCCACCAACTGGGCAGCAACCCTTGAAGAGCTTTTTACAAGGTCACGCGAGACCTGGGGGAAATCTGAACTCAAAATGGACACTAGCTTTTCATTCTTCGCCGTCCCTGAAAGCCGGCTGGGGTCACTGGTTTTAGACTAGAGGTGGCAATACGCATCCTAGCAGCTGTGACTCAGGGATGGAAGGAGGTCTTCCCCTGAGCTCATTCCATGTCCCTTTTCCCCCAGGGTCCCTCCCCTCGTCTTGAGAGCTGCACTAGTCGGCCCCTCAACCCTGCCCCATAAAAATCTAAAGGCGAGCTGACCCCTAGTGCCACTGCGACCTAACTGAAGCCCTAGTTCAATCTCTACCAAGCCCACAGGGTCCAAACTAACCAAGATCTCACAGAGATGGTGCCAGTGAGCGCCTGTGAGTGACTCTGACTTAGAAGCAGTTCCGCCGGCTTCTACCTTCTGGCTCCCTTTTGCTGTCAGAACTCACCACGAGCAGAGCCCAGGCCTCTCTGCAACACACGTAGCTTCTGGATTTATGCTTTGCCCAGATGAGCCCACAAGCCGATAATAAACAGGATGGTCGGATGAGGTCAGCTAAGACCACAGAGAAAGCTAATTGGGGTTTGCTTTCTGATTTCCCATGCTCTAGGAACTATCCGTGTGTGTGTGTGTGTGTGTGTGTGTGTGTGTGTGTGTGTGTGTGTGTGTGTGTGGTGAGAGGGAAGGGAGGCTACAGGATTGATTACGACTTATTAAACTATTGGAACATCGACTGAATCATCACAGTCAAAAATAAATAAATAGCTGCAACTTGATGCGACACATCTCCCACTTCTTGCTGGTCCCTCTTTTCTCCCGCAGAGCGACACAGCCGCGTAGGAGGAGCGGTTGGGCTGGGTCAAACCAGCAAGCACTGATTGACAGGCTAAATTAAAGCTAGGAGAGGCTGTGCGGCCCCGGGGCCTCAGGTTGGGAGACCTGTCGAGCCCCGCGGAGCCCCTGCTGGCTGCGGGAACTGAAGCCAGATGCGGCACACACCTGCGGGCGCTTGCAGCGGGAGACCTGCTTGCTGTTCTCTCTCTCTCTCTCTCTCTCTCTCTCTCTCTCTCTCTCTCTCTCCCTCTCTCCCTCCCCCCCCCCCTCTCTCTCCCTCTCTCTCTCTCTCTCTCTCTCTCTCTCTCTCTCTCTCTCTCTCCTGTCCTTTGCCAGGATCTGCAACCCGTGCGCTGTGTCTGGGACTAGTCCGTGGTACGGCACGGCTTTGTAAACTTGAGAACATGACTTAAAGGTCCCGGAGCAAGTCTAGGTCACCCCAGCCCCTGCGACAACTGCCTGGAATTTGTTGGGTAAAATCGGACCGAGTCTCTAAAATCGGAGAAAAATCAGCGCGGGTCCTCACCGGGAGGAGTCATAGCGACATTGACATCGCTTCACCCTCCACCAGCATCCAGGTCCGCTGACCCCTCCTCCCCGGGTGCCCTAGGTCACCCGCAGGATTCTCCACTCTGTTCCCCGGTGCTTCAGGACCGGTGGGTGGAGCGAAACTGCTGTGACGTCACGAGCAGGGGGCGTGGGGAAGTGTGCCCAGGGGCTGCCACCCGCCTGGGCCAATGCAAGCTGTGCAGCCACCGGCGCGCTCGCGAGGCCACCGGAGCCCAGAGCACCAGTCCGCTATTGGGTGTCGATGATCTGCAAGCCAGGCTAGCTCTCTCGAGGTTCAGGCTAGCTCTTTCAAATGCCAGAGGGGGCTCGCACGAGCCAGCCAAGGAAGCTGAGAGCCCAGGAGCCAAGCTACTGCACTCACCGGCGCACGACTGGATAAAGGACAGCTTCGGGGTGCTGGAGAACCCAGAGAACCGAGTGTTCTTGGAAAGCAAGGTGAGGGGTGTGTGTGGTTACGCGTGTGTGTGCATATGTGTGTGTCACAGAGAGATGGTGGGAGCGACGAGCGCACTTGGGCACCTGCGTGCATCTGCGCTAGGGATAGAGCGCTGATCCCGGCGACCTGTACGTTGGTTCCGGCGCTCAGTTCTCTGCTTTTGTGCCTTTGGAGGTGACAGGTAGAAATGAAAGATGTGTATCCTGGCGTCACGGGTGGAAAGGTAGTATATTCCAGGACAGATTGGTCCGCACAGCCACTACCCAGGTACAGTGGCGTGTGATCTGCGAGCCTGAGCGTCCAGTTAGTAGCTGTGGTGGGAACAACTTATATCCTAGCCACCTGCGAAACAGCCCAGATCCAAGGAAAGAGAGACCAGCTAGAGGAGAAGGGACGTGCCAGGTGCTACCACAGGGCTCCTGAGTTCATACCCTGAGGCATAAGTTGGGGAGGGACAGGGGATGGAGACATCGCAGAGAGACAAGGAAAGCGGGTTTTTCCGTTTTTGTTTTGTTTTTGTTTTTCTTCCATCGCCCGATGGGGAGGCAGACCAGATTCGTACGCGGTCAGGTCCCTCCTACATCCCGCCGCCCTCGAGCAGAGACATCTGTCTAGATAGGAGAGAACCAACCACTGAACGGTCAAGTCCCCAAGCGACTGTTGGCGCTCCTCGCTGTCCCTGGCACCTCAGTCCCCTCTGCGTATCGAAGCTGGTTGTGCGGGCACCATGGTCCACTCTTTCTACAATTTCCTGGAAATGGTGGGAAATCCTTTAGGGAACACTTTGTTTCCCGGGTCAGCGAGTTGTTGGCCCCAAATATTCCTACCCCTGGACTAACTCTGCGGTCCAGAAGCTCACTTACCTACCTCCCACCCACTGGCCAGTGCTGAGGGGCACTCTAGCGCCATGCTGAACCACACAGGGCTGGTTATGCATGCTGGTATCAGCTCAGTGTCCAGCCCCAGATTTTTGGAGCAGAGTGGGGGTGGGGGCATCTAGCAGATTTAGGGGAGGGGGTCTTGAGGGATCACAATAGAAGGATGTTGGGAAGTCAGTGAAACTAAAGCTGGGTGGAATCTCAACCATCCCATCTCTGAATTCATGGACTATGGACCATACGGTAAGAGAGGCTCCCTGAGACAGTGGGAAACCCTTCTCTCCAACAGAGCCAGGACTCTCTCAGGGGAAACCACCCACCAAGCCATGGCCAGGATTTAACAGCCCTGACACTGAAAAAAAAAAAAAAGGGCAGAAAATCAGACTTCCTGGTACGTTTAATTTAACCACAATTCAACAAGTATCGACTGGTGGCATTAGGAATTCTCTTTCGGTGAGACAAACGTAAAATGAGGAGCAATCACTTGGAGATGTTAGGCATCAGACTAGTTATACAGGACCCCCTAGGTTTTAAGTTCTTGTCTTCTTTGGAGGAGTCCCCCCCCCCCGCCCGCCTTCCCAGTGGGGTTTCCCAGCATATGACCTCCACCCACCTCCAAGGCTCTGAATCCCTGTAGGGCTTACCTCCCCAAAATGGAAGTGTGTCTCAGCCAGTTCCAGAGAAAAGCGACCCCCACCCCATTCATTCTGCCCAACGGGCACAGTTAGAGCTGAAGAATCACATTGAGCCCTGTACCACCACCACTCCTCTGTTCCTCCTCCTCCTCTCCTCCTCCTCCTCTCCTAATCCTCCTCCTCCTCCCCTCCTCCCCTCCTCCTCTTCTCCTACTCCTCCTCCTCCTCTCCTCCTCCTCCTCCTCTCCTCCTCCTCCTCTCCTCCTCCTCCTCCTCTCCTCATCCTCCTCCCCTCATCCTTTCCTCTTCCTCTTTCTCTCCTCCTCCTCCTCTCCTCCTTCTCCTCCTCCTCTTCCTCTCCTCCTCCTCCTTCTCCTCCTTCTCTCCTCCTTCTTTCTTGGCTCTAGGTATGAATTCTACAGCCCCAGGGGGTTCTTCAGTCTCGGTCAGATACTGAAGTTTGCCCTCTCATGGTATACAGGCGGCACGAGCTAATGATTACTGAAAGGTTCCTCTGCATGCAGCTTGAATAAGATTCTGGGTCTGTAGAATTAAGGAGCTGGCAAGATGGGGAAAGAAGAAAAAAAAAACAAACAGTGGAAATAACCCAAGTTAATCTGGGGATACAAAACCAGTTTCTTCACAGCTTCTGGCTCTAAGAGCTGCCTGCTTATACTTGCTTACCCAAGGCAGACACAAGGCAGTGGGTCCCCAAACTACAATCGCAAAATCTCCGACCTCACTGTACCAAATATGGGCTGGGAGAATTAATGCAGAAAGAAAAGCCAGGCACCTGGCAGTACAGAATGAATCGGAGGCAGAGGAGGGCAAGGAACACCTGCCTGTTGCCGGCTACGTCTTTAATTTCTCTGCGGTCTGCGCCAGCATTAGGCATTGATTCGGAAAAGTACGCTTTGGGGAAAGATGTCAGGAAAGAGAATTAGTGGTCCTGTATACTCCAGTCCTTGACCAGCTCCCCTCTTCCTGGATGGACCCCTACCCGGAGCTCTTGCCTCACTCTACATATACACGAGACCCAGCCCCCAAATTCCTGAGAACATCCCCCTATACAGTCAGGGAAGGGCTGTGTCCTAACATCCTTTGTTCATGGCCCTATCTCCACGCAAGTCACACACTACAGGACTTGATTCCCTTGCCTGTCTCCCCTGTTGAAGTGTTAGCTGCTAGAGGGGGTTCCATCACAGTGGCCCCCACCCCCATGATGTTTTATATCTGTGGTAAATCACTTAATTATAGGTTGAGCTGGTGTTTTACATCTTAGGCCAAGCCAACAGCGTTCTCATTATCTTCTCAGCATGGAGGTCACTTGGAGTTGGTTGCTTTACACTAAGCTCAAGTACCCAGCCACGGGTTTCCATCCAGAGAGCATCAGCCAGGGCACATAGAAAATCCCAGACGACGTGGTGCCAGGTGGCTCATGTTCAAGTTCCCACTCCACCAAGGATTTTAACTCTCTGTGCCTCAGTTTCCACTCTTTTAAGTGAGGGAGGACAGTATCAACAACTCCCACATGTTTAGGGAGACAAAGGGGGAAACGGGTGTGGCCGAAGGTCCTCAGTTTTTAAAAGCCTCTTTTGACTTTCATGAAGAGTCTGTGCCCATTACCTAGTCTCTGTTTTTGTCCTAATCTATGAACTGCAGGCAAAAGGCCACCCATGAGGGAGTAGAAACTTCAGGAAAGGGCTTTCCTAAGTGGGAGTCTGGTGGGGAATGAAGGGCACCGGGCATTGGGGGAAACAAAACCAAGCCAAAAAAACAGCCTGAAGCACACATTTTTAAAGTGTGTGTGTGGGGGGGGGCAGATTCTAACTTTTAATACTGAAGACTCTAACTTGATTCACTGTGTAGGCAGGTTTCAATGAATTAAAGATAATGAGGCAGTAGAAGGGGCTAACATTTATGAGGCTGTGATTATGAGCCTGCACAATGCTAGGCATTTGCATATACCTTGTCTTGTTTAACCCTCATGACACCCCCATGTTGACAAAGGAAAGAAACAGCAGTTAAGGGCTGGGCATGAGGTCACGTGGGGCTCAATCATGGAGCCCAGATCTGTTCTTCCTTTAAATTCTTGGGTTTTTCCCACCATGGGAGTCTCTGAATGGAACTCTCCCAGGCGGGCATCAAGCCAGCACGGGATTCTGCACAGGGCTCAGAGTGATGGTGTCAGAGTCAGACCCCTCCAAGATCTGCCTTTTTATAGTCTGGACCAGTCAATTCCTTAGGGGTCAAAGTCCATGCGTTTGAAGCCATAGCCTTTCGCCTCACGTGCGTCATCAAAGACGATGGTTCAACTCAAACCCTCCCCCACCATTTCCAAAGACCTCAAAAAGGCTGCAGGCTGACAGCTAGATGAGAAAAAGAGAGAGAGAGAGAGAGAGAGAGAGAGAGAGAGAGAGAGAACTTGCTTTTCAGTTGAAAGACACAACTAAAAGAGCGAGGCGAGGTAGCTCACCCCAAGCCCTGGAAGCTAAGACAGGGAGAGAGCCCTGATTGCAAAGCCAGCCTCAGCTACGCAGCAGTTCTAGGCTAGCCTGTCTCCAAAAATGGGGGGGGGGAGGAATGAGGGAAAGAAGGAGGGAGGGAGACTCGGGAGATGGCTCAGTCAATAAAGCACTTAACTTGCAAGCAAGAGTTCTGAGTTCAATCCCAGAACCCAGGTGGAAACTGCAGCAACATGTCTGTAATCACAGTGGTGGTGGGGAAGACACAAGTGGGTCCCTGAAGCCTAGGCTACATGGTGAGAAACAGACTCAAAAGGGGGGAGGGGTACTGTGCCTACACACACACACACACACACACACACACACACACACACACGCAGCTGTACACACATGAATACACAAAAGAGAAAGAGTGGTAGGAAAATGTCTAAACATGGAACACGGGAGTCTAAATAGCTTGGGGACTTATGGTCACTTTTCTCTTTCTCTTCCCAGATGTCACAGTAGATTCTTGGCCCCCAGAGCCCACTGAGGTGAGAGAAGATCTCTGCTTGGTTCTAAGCTGACTGAAAAGCAGCCATGGAGATGGCATCTGAGCAAGGCAATGGGAGTCAACTATGGATACCCTCTCCATTTGACATCAATGGCTCACTGGGGCCAAGCAATGGCTCCAACCAGACCGAGCCGTACTACGACATGACAAGCAACGCGGTCCTCACGTTCATCTACTTCGTGGTGTGCGTTGTCGGGCTGTGTGGCAACACACTTGTCATTTACGTCATCCTCCGCTACGCCAAGATGAAAACCATCACCAACATTTACATCCTCAACTTGGCCATTGCGGATGAACTCTTCATGCTGGGGCTGCCCTTCTTGGCCATGCAGGTGGCGCTGGTCCACTGGCCCTTTGGCAAGGCCATCTGCCGGGTGGTCATGACTGTAGATGGCATCAATCAGTTCACCAGTATCTTCTGCCTGACGGTCATGAGTATCGACCGTTACCTAGCTGTGGTCCACCCGATCAAGTCAGCCAAGTGGAGGCGGCCCCGGACAGCCAAGATGATCAATGTGGCTGTGTGGGGCCTCTCTCTGCTGGTCATCCTGCCCATCATGATATATGCTGGCCTCCGGAGCAACCAGTGGGGGAGGAGCAGCTGTACCATCAACTGGCCAGGTGAATCTGGGGCGTGGTACACAGGGTTCATTATCTATGCCTTCATCCTGGGGTTCCTGGTACCCCTCACCATCATCTGTCTTTGCTACCTGTTTATCATAATCAAGGTGAAGTCCTCTGGAATCCGAGTGGGATCGTCCAAGAGGAAGAAGTCAGAGAAAAAGGTCACCCGCATGGTGTCCATCGTGGTGGCTGTCTTCATCTTCTGCTGGCTCCCTTTCTACATCTTCAATGTCTCTTCCGTGTCCGTGGCCATCAGCCCCACCCCTGCCTTGAAAGGCATGTTTGACTTTGTAGTGATCCTCACCTACGCCAACAGCTGTGCCAACCCCATCCTATATGCCTTCTTATCTGACAACTTCAAGAAGAGCTTCCAGAATGTTCTCTGCTTGGTCAAGGTGAGTGGTACCGAGGATGGGGAACGGAGCGACAGTAAGCAGGACAAATCCCGGCTGAATGAGACCACAGAGACCCAGAGGACCCTCCTCAACGGAGACCTCCAAACCAGTATCTGAGATAGCCGGAAACCCACCATGCACGCACACACACAAGCCAAGCCTGCCTCCGGGCAGTGCGTTTCCTCCTCACCTGCTTCCTGCCTCCCCACCCATCCTAGCTGGCTTGTTCTACATGAGCCCAGTTCAGAGGACAGGATTTGAGTCTATTCCGCTGACTACTTCTCCCTTAAAGTGAACATTTTCCTGCAGGCAAACAATTCAAAGCCTGGAGAAGAGGACATCATTGCCTGGGTGTGACGTTGAAGAAAGCAGCCGCCCAGGAGAAATCGGGGGGGGGGGGGGGAACAAACTAAACTAAACTAAACTAAACCAAAACCTGTGAATGTGTGCTTATACACTACGTAATCTCGTGATCTGATATTTACATTTGTATATTCCTACCTAGTGTCTTCGGAGCCAGCACATACATGTCCCGTGATTGTAAGCTGAAGTAGTTAGTTCGTGTGTGTCTAGTATAGGTGAACATGTACCGCAACACTGAACCTAAAGAAATGGACCCGCCACGACAAAACCAATCAAGTTTAAGCTTCCAGCATCTCTCTTGCATGGGCCTTTCCCAGACCCAGGAGGAGCATGAGCGGTATGTTCGTATTAGAGTATGTTTTTGTAAAAAAAAAAAAAAAGAGAAAGAAAAAGTGGTGAAAGCAAGGTATTTTTTGTATTGTTCTTCCTAGAGGGCCCCTAAGCTAAATAAGTGTCTCGCCTCACAGGTGCTGCCCCTGAGTCTGGACAGTTGTTTCAACAATTTCAAACAACCTAGGTCCGAGTAAAACAGAGAGGAGCGCACTGTGAGAGTCGGAATACAAATGAGAGTTCGCCTCTCGGATACAATCAGTTACTCATTTACCCAGAAGAACTTCAAGGGTTGGAGTCATTGACCACTGTGTTTATCAAGACAAAGCATGCTTTGTTATCAGACTGAATTTTTCTCTCCTCAGATTGCTTTAGTTTTACTTAGGGAGACATTGGGGAAGGGGTGGGATCGGTGACCTGAAAGGCAAAAGACAGACTATGATTCTTGCGGGCAAACAATTTGCTCCCCAACATACAAACACACACACACACACACACACACACACACACACACACAAATGAGAAGAAAAATGAAGTAGAATTATCCCTTTAAGAGAAACATGGAAAGTGTTTTGTTTTTAATGCCGGATAAGACTTCTTAATGAAAGAAAACAGAAATGTAACTTGACAGCTCCTCAAAGGCGTTTTGGGGTCTTGCTGTTGTTCTTGGTTTTGGGGGAGGCTGTTCTTTCTTCCTGTCTATGTATATGTGTGTATTTATGCCTGTGTCAGTGTGTGTGTATGTGTATATGTGTGTTTGTATGTATAAGTATGTGTGCACATGAGCATGTGTGTGCATGTGCCCGTGTGTGTGTAGGTCAGAGGTTACAATGTGTGTGACCTCAGCAATGTGTGTGACGTTGCTGTCTCCTTCCATTATGCTCTACTTTACTTACTAGGCAGGGTCTCTTGCTGAATACGAAGCTTTCCAGTCAAGCAAGCCAGCTTGCCTAGAGGATCCCATCTCCAACCACGGAGCTTTACAAACGTGCTGCCGTGTCCAGACAACCTTTACATGAGCTCTGGTACCCAGATTCGGGCCCTCACACAAGAGCAGCAAGTGTGCTACCCGAAAGAGCATCTCCCCAACTCTCAAAGGAGTTTTTATGTCATTATTATTAGTGGGGAGGGGGCATGTGTGGATGTCAGTGGACAACTTCATGGAGACAGTTCTTGCCTTCCACCTCTTTAATGGGTTATGGGGACCAAACTCAGGTCACCAGGCTGGTCCAGCAAGTCATCGCCCTATCTCAAAGACAGTTTTAAAGAACTTTATGCACAGCTGGGCATTTTGAAAATCACAATACTGAGACTCAGGAACGTGTATAGGAAATGTTCAATCAAGACCAGCTAATGGAGAATATAGGTATGTGCAGGGCATGGACTGGGAGCCCCTTCCTTCACAGGGATAGCTACGTCTCCTCCATCAGCTGTGCACGCGTGTGGTCTCTCCAAGCTGTCCCTCACACTACCAGTGGTTTTTGTTTCCAGCTATAGATGGATTTGTATACAGATGACAGAAAAAGGTCCAGCCCGCGTCCCTTGGTTGATCACGGCTCTAGGAAATGAAGAAACACAGGCGCAGGTGTGGAAGATGCCGTGCACTCTGGGATTTAGAAGCATCACTCTTAGCATCCCACACGTAGACTTCAACTGTATTTTAAAATGTGCTTTCTTCTTCTGTCTCCTTAAGAAGGACTATTTAGTGGTCACAATGGCTGACTGCCCTGCCTGTGGCTATCCTACCTTAGTGGGCCACCTTAATTCTCAGGCTACGTCACTCATACCACCTGGCTCCCAAAAACTACCGACTATGGCTTAGGAAGATACATTCATTGGGGATTTATGCTAGACAAATAAATTTACCCAAAAGTAAAAGCACAATCATAAAACAAGACTACAGGGACAGTTGTTGCAAAAAGGCAAACATATAGAGAAAAATCCCAAACTGTTACCAAAGGCCAAGTTAGCTACGAGTTCAGCTTTGGGCTGGTTTCTTGGCAGCCATAACAAACACTGAGTCACTGCTTCTCTTTCCTTTTAATACTAACAGGGAAAAAAATGGAAAGAAACACTATAGATAACAACTTTATCATTACAATCAGAAAATATTCGTCTTGAATAAATGTCTTTTTTTTTCCACTTAGGGAAATCTCTCTAGGAAACCCAGAACGGATGACAATCATTCCAAGAAGATAGGTCAGAGTAACTCTATAGTGTTCATGCTCCCAAAGCTTGGTAAATTGTCTCCAACAAGGTTTTGATCCTAAGCCACCACCAATACCTCAAGATGGACCGTCTAAGTGGTGTCTGGGGTACTCAGCAACAGAGAGGTCATTGGAAGGCAGGAAGAAGGGGACTTTAACACATGTGGTACAGGGCCGGGAGGTGGATCAGTCAAGAAATTGCTTGCCTCACAAGTTTGAGGACCTGAGTTCAATCCCTAGAACCCACATGAAAAGTTAAGGGCAGTGCTTACTACATTCCAGAAATGGCGAGACGGGTGGTGGAGAGAGCTGGACCTCTGGAAGTGCATCAAACCAACCAGCCTGGCCTAAGTGGCGAAGGTCCAGGCCAATGAGACCCTGTCTCAAACAAAAAGTAGATGTGCCTATGGATCAACACTCAAGGCTTTCCTCAGACACACACACACACACAAACACACACGTCCAACCCATGTGCATTCGTATACATGAACACATACATACAACATAAACACACACCACATACATATACAGATAACATACAATACATACACACAACACATAACATATATAGTACACACATATATACACATACATACCACACAAAAAAACATAATACCATACACACATATATACATACAAGCACACATACAAGATGGATGCTTAATTCTCTACAGATAAGCAGTCAGGTCCCATGATATGGAAATTTATGTTTCACCTGTTAAAGCACCTATATTTATATTTCAACTAAAAATTTAAAATATATATTATTTTATATGTATGAGTATTTTGCTTGCATGTCTGTCTGTATACCATGTGGATGCCTGGTACCTGTGGTAGCCAGAAGAGGGCACTGGAGTTTCTGGGAGTAGAGGTACAGATGGTTGTATGTGGGTCCTAGGGATCAAACGTGGGTCCTCTACAAGACCAGCCAGTGATGTTAACCCCGGAGCCATCTCTCCAGCCCCTGAAGCATCTTATTTTTAAAGATGACTTGTTCTCTGGATTTCTGTTATCCAAAAGAGGAACCAAAAAAAAAAAAAAAAGGATGTTAACACAATTTTGGTTCAGAAAGTCACTCTGAGCTTTTCAACTCAACATCGTGAAGATAAGTCCTCTGGATGCTGGCGGTGAGACAATAAAAAGTAATCCGTCGGGACCAGAAAGACAGCTCAGCAGTTAGGAACACTTGCTACTCCTGCAGAATACCCGATTGGTTCCTAGGACCCTTGCTCACAGTCTAGCTCCACGGATCTGATGCCCTCTTCTGGCTGCTGTGAACACCTGCATGCAGGTGCACACAAAAGCACACACGAGTGTAATTTAAAGTAAAATAAACCTCTTTTTTTTTTTTTAAATTAATGCCTCAGATTGAATCTGTGATTCCCAATGGTCTGATGGGTTTTGCAAACTAACTCCTTATCTCCCATTAGCGGGGGTTGCTAAGGGCTGATTAATCCTGCAAAAACTTAGCAGGAGACACACTGGGCAACGCTACGGCAGTGGGGTGCTGAATGACCTTAGCTTTGGTTTCAGGACCAGACAGCTGAGTAACGTTGGCCGTGGAGCTGTTCTGTGTGAGGTTTGTGCCTTAGCTTAGAACATGCTCTGTTGACGTGAAGAGGACAGTGGAGGGGACAATGTGGACCGGCGGACAGGAGCCTGTTTGCTTACACGGATCTGATCTCTCCATGGGCACAGCGCTGCTCACTGAAGCTTCTGGCCCCAGCTTTCCTAGAGGTGTTCAGTATGAGCCCTGGGGTGTGTGGGGTGGGAAGACAACGGTGGCTGACAGCCATGCCCCCGCCCCCAAGCAGCTCCGATGGTCACCGGTCAATGAAGGGAAGTCACAATGGGTGAAAGCCAAACTTTTCTGCCTTGTTGGGGATATACAGCAGGAGGATCCAAGAGGTTGGGGTGCCGTGGTCAGAAAGTGATTAGGGTTACTAAGTAACAACTTAGAATCAATCACTTGTTTCATCCACATTTTTGCCAGCTTCCAAAGACTGAATTCCCCAGCAAAAGCTCCATCAAAGCAATCTTCACATGAGTTTATTTACCCTCTATGAATAAATTCCCATTGGCGTTCTCTCTCTCTCTCTCTCTCTCTCTCTCTCTCTCTCTCTCTCTCTCTCTCTCTCTCGACAGAGTTGTCTCTGTGTTAATAGTCCTAGCTGTCCTGGAACTAGCTCTTGTAGACCAGGCTGACCTCGAACTCACAGAGATCTGCCTGTCTCTGCCTCCCGAGCCTGTCTCTGTCTCTGCACCACTACCACCCGGCTTGTTTTTTTTTTTTTTTTTTTTTCCCAGCAGCTCATCTAGGGACAGAGTTCTGCTTACAGAGGACAATCTTTCATAGCTGTCATTACTTATTCGATTCAGCAACCACTGGGCAGAGAATACCGTCTTGAAGACAAAGACTCCCCCATGGCCATTTCAACACCAGCCCACCCCTCCTGGCACTCAGAGGGGCTGGCCGCACTAGCAGGTGAGCCGCTTGTTGTCCTAGAGATGTCTCTGGCTGTTCGTATCTGGACTCTGCCTGAAAACAGGGCTAAATATTAACCAAGCCCTAGCGGAACCCACTGTAAAGCATTATTGATTCTCCTAAGATAGAAGTGAGGGTAATGTCATTAAAATGAAATGCTGGGGTTGGCTCACCTGGTCCAGCGAGCACCTGCCTCCCGGTGGACCAAGACAGGAAGCAGGAGGGAGTCAAAGGTAAAGGCTAGGCTCTCAGTGCACGGGTACAGAGCTGACACATGGATGGGGACAAGCATCTGTCTCTTCCCTGGCATCGGCGGGGAGCAGAAAGACCAGACTTCTTTCCTGGGACACCGTATCCAGCAAGGAGAGCTACTCAACGTCTGTCCCTCTTCTGTTCTGCTGCCACCGGGACCGGAAGCAGAAAAGAAATGTCCTGGCTTAGAGAACTGTCTGGCCTTTTTATGAAGCCTGTTAAGAGATGTGATACAAGGGGCCGGAGAGATGGCACAGAGGCCAAGAGCACTCTCTGCTCTTCCAGAGGACCTGGGTTCCAAGCATGGTGGCTCAAATAACCTGTGACTCCAGTTCCAGGGGATCTGATGCCCTCTTCTGGCCTCTGTGAGCACCAGGCACACATGTGCTACAGACAAACATGCGAGCGAAACACCCAAAGGCACAAAAAAGATGGGGGAGGGGTGATGCGAGGCCCACCAAAGGAATCAGAACTGCTGCGCCGTGGCCCGGTCCACCCATTATTAAGTAGCAGGGGCCCCAGTTGTCTAAGCAGTGGAGAAGGTCCCTTGACAGTACAAGCCACCAAAGAAAGTAACATGGAGGTCTACAGGGAGCCCAGCCCAGGGGCGGGTCTACTAAATAAAGCCTTGCTAGCCCTGCACAGGGCTCCTCACAAAGTAGACACTGTAAAGGGCCAGGGCAGGGACCCCAGAGGGCAACTTCTAGAGTCCCCGGAGCAAAATCCACAATTAGCCATCACACTAGGGACAGCAGGGGCCAGTCATTCCTCATTAGTAATTCCTATGCCTTGTGGGGGTCTGGGGTAGCAGTCTTGTTCCCAGGTAAGGGAAGTCATTCATTTGAAAGCAAAAATACATAGAGTTGACCAAGAGTATGAAAGGCTGATCACTCTGTGGTCAGCCAGCATAAAGCATACCCGTCTAACAGCAATGCTTCTCCAGAAGTAAAAAAAAAAAAAAAAAAATCATTGAAGACAATTTTAAATGGGTCCCCCACAAGGACAGCATGTGTCAAAGTTTCTGTCAACTTGACACAAACCTAGACACACCTTGGAAGATTCCTCACCTGAGGAGTCACCTTCATTGGGTTGGCCTGTCAGCGTGACTTTGAGGCATTTTTCTTAATTGCAAATTGATGTCAGAGAGCCCAGCCAACTGTGAGCAGTGTTATCTCTGGGCAGGTGGTTCTGGGCTGTATAAGAAAGGTGGCTGAGCAAGCCAGGGGGAGCGAGCAGGTTAGTAAGCTTAGTCATCCGTGGCCTCTCCTGATTGGAGTGTCTGCCTCAGCCTCTTTCGTGAACTGGTGTAAGCAAATGAACCCCTCCCTCCCCAAGTTGCCTTTGGTCGTGGTGTTTATCACAGCAACAGAAGCACACTAGGAGAGCATCCTAGATACCCCGTGTAGGAGAGCATCCTAGATGCCTCATGTAGGAGAGCATCTTAGATACCCCGT